TGGGTGGGGGTGAGTTGGTAGGGATGTGGAATATGATGGAGAAGGTCGAAAAAAGAATTTTAGAAAATATTTTTCCTTTTTTTGACAGGGAAAATATTTTCCTACAATTGGAGAAAAATGAGTTCATTAAGAAAATATTTTTCAAAACATTTAAACCAAACAAACGTAAAAAAATTAAAAAACCTTTTTCGAAAAATATTTTCCTTCCTACCAAACACACCCTAAATCTTTTGATTTATGTCCTCCGTCAATCTTCATTTATGACTCATTCTCCTTTTTCTTTTTCATCTCAATTCACGATTTTCTTTTTCAAGAAAACTCAAATGTGAGTGGTAAATATTTTTTTTTTGAAAGACCGATCAATTGAATTAAACTGATCCAATTCGCCAAAAACCCACCAAGTTTTAGATTCAGGTTTCATTATTATTTTTGATCATCTAAATTTCGACAGATTTATCGATCATCCAACCTCCTATAACTCATTTGACATGCGGCTGGGTAAAATTTGTCTTTATATCAAGGTGACATGTATTCATCGATATTTAGTGAACGTGGTGAGTCTAGTGGCTAGAAGCTTAACTGCTCATTTAATTAGGAATCTTCACTTGATTTCTAGTTATTTTGTTTTTTTGTGTGAAAGAAAAAAAATGTTAAGAATGTAGTTTTAAGATTTGTTATTTTATGTAATTTAAGTTGATGAAACTTTTATCATCAACGTGAAATTAAGGAATTTAAGAAATATTAGCACTATATATACAAGAGAAGCATCATAGGTAGTTTCGCCATTAACAAGAAGAGTTTAAGATGTGAGATCTAACCAATTCAAAAAAAAAAAATTCAGAAAATTCAATATTCTATTAGTAACATTTTGGAAGCCCGTAGATATATGAACAGAATGATAATTAAAGTTTTATGGATAAATAACTAAGTTCTATGGTTAACTTATGTTTATTGCAAATAAATATATAAAAAAGAAAATCTCGAAGTAGACATTTAAGTCATTTCTTTTTTCTTTTTCAAGAGAACCAACGACTTGTATTTAGTGTTATCCAAGCTAATAACCTCTCTTTAGCTCTTTACTTTGAGAGGCTTAAAGTGGACTTCACTTAAATATAAAGTATTCGTATCTTATTTCATTGTGTAAACAATGTACAATATAAAGCTTATTGACCCTTTCGTCTCATTCTAATGAAATTTGAACACTATAAGGATTAAAGTATAAT